CCCAACTTCCCATACTTATGAGAATCATTGTGGATGTACGCAGTTGACCCCTATAGTCTCAACATACTAAGATCCGATTTGCGTTTTGTCCACAACTCATAGGGCGTGGAATTAACTGATTTTGAGGGCACAGTTAAGTATGAAAGCAGCTGTCAACAAAGCATCACCCCAAAATGAGATTGGGAGGTTTGCTTGAGTCATCATTGATCTAACCACTTCTGATATTGTTATATTTATCCTTTTAGCAACCCCATTTTGTTGCGAAGTACCAGGAATTGTTAATTGTCTTGTTATTCTTTTTTCTTCACAGAACTCTTTGAATTGATCGGTCTACTTCGTTCATATATCATCTAAAGCACTCAAGAACCTCAGATGTATGTGAGATCAAATAAACACAATTGTATTGTGAATAGTCATCAATAAAGGTAATAAAATACCATGCTCATGCCTCATCCTAACATTCATGGGCTGCATATATCAAAGTGAATTAATTGCAATGTATTCTTAGCTCTAGTTCCTTTACTGAAAGGTTTTCTAGTTGTTTTTCCAACTAGACAATTCTCACACAAAGACTTTCCATGTTAGTGATTTCACCTAACAAACCCTCTTTTGCTAGTTTAATCATTCTATTTTGATTTACATGTCCTAGTTTAACATGACAGGTATTCATATCTACACTACTAGAAGAAGTGGCGAAACAATCATGTGAATTAAAATCAAAAATAACATCCATGATAAAGAACTTCTCAGAAAGAAAAGCTAAACAATGAAGTGTCAAATTAAAAAATATGTCTGCAAGCTTACCATGAAAATTAACATTAAAAACATGTTCTAGAAGGCATAAAAAAGAAACTAAATTCTGTTAGATATCAAAAGCATGAAGGACATCATGTAGGACCAAGGTTTTTCTAGCACGTAAAGCCAATTTGCAAGTATCAATGCCTTTCATCTCAATCCTTGTATTGTTTTCCACATATAGCCACTTACTTAGATGCGGCAACCGACAGTATTCTACAAAGGATCCTTGATCCCTTGTTTTATGGTCTATTGAGCTTGAGTCCAAAATCCAAGAAGAACAAACAAATTCGATTAGAAAAGTAGTGCTTAAAACATAGGAAACATGTGAATTCACATAATTCACTAATACCTTTTATTGTTCATTTTGCTCAAATCACATGCGAAATGGCCCCATCTTCTGGCAGGCATGACATTTAACCTTTTTCAGGTCAAGCTTCTTCTTCTTGCCTCTTTTAATGCCTTTCTTCTTGAACCATTTCTTATTCTTTTTTAATCTTGAGTCGCCTTTCTTTCCATTCTTTTGGAACGTAGATGAAGTTGGATTTTGTTATACAACAAGTACACATTTGAAGAGATAATGAGATTAGGGAGAGAGGAGACTTGCAGAGGGAAAAATTTCTTAGTCTGTGAAGAAAGTTTTTACCCCATGTATATGTCATACTCTTATTCATTTTTTCTCTTGAAAAATTGACCATAAAACTGTAAAATCGTTCCCTCTAAAAACTAAAAGACAAAAGGGTTTGTTATAAGCAGCAACCCTTAATTTTTAGTTTATTATATTTTAAACCCCAAATCTTATGGGCTTGAGCCCCATCCACCAAGGGTGGATCAGGCTAAGTACAACACATTATGTCAAGCTCTATAATTATATATCGTCATATGTACTTTTTTGTTTATGCTAAACTTATAATTAAATGCTAATATTTTAAAAACATGAAATATAGTCATGTGTGATTGGAGAACCATGTGTGATAACAAAAGGTAGGATTTAGTTCCACGTATTAATAAGTTGACTCTCATGAAAAGGATGAGATAGAGTACCAAGATGTTATCTCAATGACTCCTATTTAGAGGAAAGTATCTGACACAACATTACAAGGTATTCTAATACTCCTCCGGTCCTTATTATAAGACTCAATTTGACTTTTTATTTGGTCCTAATTATAAGACCCAATCCATTTTGTCTCTTATATTTATGCATTTTTTTCCAAGATAATCCTTCTAATAATGATAGTTTTAACCAATATACTTAATTAGCAAGGATATTTTAGGAATGACAACACTTATTTATTATAAATAACCAACTTAACTTACTTCCTTAATTTCCTCAAATAAGTCAATTGGGTCTTATAATTAGGACCGGAGGAGTAACATTTTTGGTTATACATTGGTAATTTTAATAGCATTTTATTATAAATGCATAAGAAATAAAAAAAATACATAGTCAGATGTGATTAAAAAATTTGTGATAATGAATATAAAAAACTTGACTTAAGTTCTCTCTCTATGTAATCCAATAGCTTCACTGCATAGTCTCATCAGTAGTTTAAGGAGAATATTTACGTATGCAATTTAATATAAGTTTGTCCTGTAAATTTAAAATTTGACGGGAAATATAAGAATTTTTCGGTCCCTTGAAAACATATTAAAAATTATAAGAGGAGCAATTACATGATAAATCATAAATGAAAAAAATGCGCCTAACAAATACATAAATGGTCAGTGGCAGTTGACGATGGCGGGTGATTTTGCCCAAACAATTTTTTTTTTAAAGAACACAATAGAATGCTTTTCAAACAATTTTATTTTGTTTCCTCCTAGAAACGGAAAAAAAAAGCTTTTGAAAATAGAATCAAATGGTTTGTCCGCATTTGTGTTTATCCTAATTATTGTTACAGTAAATATTGAAAAATGGATCAAGTTTCAATCAAGTTTTTTTATGTCTATGTATGTTAATGAAATCAGTTAAGGGTATGTTTGGATTGGTGTTGGACAAAACTGACTTTTAACCCAACTGACTCTTGTAATTGAAGTTAGAATAAAAGTCAGTTAGTATACTGCAGTTTATGTTTGGATATGTGTTTTTAAAAAGTCAGTTGAAAAAGTTAAAAGTTGTTTGGATGATTAATAGAAAAGTTAATTTAATTGTAAAATAACTGGAAAGGGCATGAAATAGTGTTTGAAATTTTATGTTTTTAATGTGATAATAGTTTAAAAAAAACACATAAAATTATTATGATAAAATATAAATAGTTTATTTGTGAAATTATAAAATAAAAATATTTGTTACGGAGAAAAATTTGAAAACACATTGTAAATAATTAATTAAATATACATAATGGACAAACATGAATATAAATTAAAATTCATTTGGTCTCTAATTAAAGTAAATAGAATCACATAACTAATTAGATAGTAAGCTTTGCACAATTTTCCCACAAGTCAGTTAGAAAAGTTGATCCAGATTGCGTTAGATAAGTCAGTTAGAAAAGTTACTTTTTTCTATAAGTCAGTTAGAAAAGAAGCCCCATCCAAATAATCTTTTGAGCCACAATAAACCACAAACCTCAGTTTCATGCTTTCCCGTATGCTTTTACCATCTGCAACGGCAATCCAAACAAGACCTAAGCCTTTGTGCTGATATGACAAAAATATTAAGTAAATAACTATTTATAAACTATTTATAAAGACTAAAATTAAAAAGAGGAAAAGAAAATCTTAAGTTTTTCAAAATAATTTTAGTCAAAATTATACAACTAATATGATAAAGGATAAATGAGTAAAAATTATACTACCTCCGTCCTCAATATAAAAGTTTGTTTGACTTTTATTTTGGTTCTAATTATGAAACCTCAATCTACTTTGTCTCTTCTATTTATCCTTTTTCCCCCCAAAGTAGTCTTTATAATAATAATAGCTCTAGCCAACGTACTTGATTAGCAAAGATACTTTAGAAATGACAATATCTATTTATTATAAATAACTAACTTAATTAGTTTCTTTAATCTACTCAAATTAGTCCACTAACTCTTATATTAAAACCGGAGGTAGTATTATAGTAAAGCAGCCTTCCATAATAATGATTTAAATTTAACAGCATGTTTTTAAAATGAAAAATATATATCTATATATATATAAATATATATATATATATAATTAAAGGGGTGTTTGGTATTAAACAAAAGTGTTTTTAAAAAGTACTTTTTCTCAAATTAAGGTAACCCATTCACATATTTACTTAGGCACCGTTTGGATGCACTTGCAAACCATGGTTTGGAAGCCCAAACCATAGTTTGCACAAAATGCTATCCAAACACCCCCCTCAAAAACCAAAACCATGGTTTTGAAAAAAGCAAATTTTTTTTGCTTTTGGAGAAAAAAGGGAGAGTGTAAGAGCCTATAGGATATGTATCTTGTTATTTTTTTTATAAACATATTTAATCTTATATTTTATAAATATATATACATATTAATTATTTATTAATTATATTATTTTATGTATTATTAATTATGTTAATAAAAAATATATTATTAACAATTTTATTCCTCTAAATTAAAATATATCATAAAATCTATTTTTCTGTAATTATCATATTAACTTATTTCTTTTTTTTAGTAATTTGTATATATAAAAAGTGCTTCTGATAACAACTATCCAAACACTTTCACTTCTCAAAATCACTTTTTCATAAAATCTATTCTTTCCAAAATCTATTCTCCAGAATCACTTTTCCAAATCACAGTTTGGTTTCATCCAAACACACCCTTAAAATCATTTTTAAAATTATGTTGCAATTTTCATTCAAACACTCCTAAAACAAAATATTAAAAAATTAGACTACCTTCTGTCGTTAATATAATAACTAGTTGACTAATTTGAATAGATTAAAAAAGTTAGTTAAGTTAGTTATTTGTAATAAATAGATATTGTCTTTCCTAAAATATCTTTACTAATCAAATATATTGGCTAAAACTATTATTATTATTATTATAAAGACTACTTTGAGAATAAATAAATAAATATGAAAAATAAAATAGATTGGGACCTTATATTTGAAATCAAAATGAAAGTTAAATAAAGCCTTATATATCAAGGAGACAAGGAAGCAGTATTTTACTCAGATAACAATTTATAACTAATTGTTATAATTATAATAAAATTTTATCTTCAAATAATTTGATCTTGAACTTGTTACAGTGACGAGTGACGACTGCCGAGCTTCCCCAATCCACTGTCCAATGGCTCACCTTCTCAATCCCTCCTTCCTGAGTTCTTCCTCAACCCTTCACCGGAAACCCAATTTGTCACCGTCATTCCGTGCCACTATAGGTAATCGGAGCAGAACCCAGGTTCAGGCCAACATCCAGGAGGTACTTATGCCGGCGATGAGCTCCGCGATGATGGATGGGAAGATCGTTTCTGAAGGCGACAAGCTCTCCAAAGCCGAGAGTATAGTGGTGGTCGAGTCCAATATGGCCGAAATGGACTTCAAGACCTTCTATGACCGGAATTCGGCGGCAATTATGGTGGAGGAAGGTGGGATTGAGGCTACTCGGTCTACCGTTGGGCTAACTCCGCCTTCTGCGGAGCCGCAATCGGAGAAAGTTCCCGATGATGTGGGACCAAGTTCGACGGTGAAAGCTGCTCCGGGTTGTAGAGCTGGCAAGAGCTTTGCGTTTAATAATAGCATCAACATTGCAGTTGCTTTGGCTATGGATAGTGGACTAATTACATCAATACTTCAGGATGCTGATAAGGTTTTGATAATTTCTTTTAGGATGTTCGGATTTTTTTCTCCTAATTTAATGGCTCCTAATAACAAGGAATAAAGAGGTATTTCTTTGTGTACATTTTAGGTTGACATCCATTCATTGTCAAGAAAGTGGAGGGAATTGGTTGACAAGGCCTCGGCCAAGCAGCTGCAACCTCATAAGTACAACACTGGTACTGAAGATTTTTGTACATGTTTCTTTAAATACGCAAAACATGTACACGTGGACTACGCGGACTTTTTTGTACTTGATCAATTGAAAACATTTAGCTTTTGTTTCGCTTATTGGTTACTGATAGGTTTTTGGCATAATTGCCTAAACTAAACTGTTATCTTGAAGTGAATTACACAGACCTCCCATGAATTTTGGTGAAATTTTATGCTTATTTTTATTTTATTTCAAACAAAATGGCACGATCCATGCGGTTCCACGTCACTAAATGCCAATCTCTGTTTTGAATTTGTTGGAGTATAGAAGACACATTCGTTGGATCCTAATAGGGTCTTGATTTAAATTATATAATATGTGGATTTTACAAATTTACTGGTCTTCAGATTACTCCTAGGAACACCTATTCTGCGTTTGTGAACACCGAAGTTTCTGTGATTAATTATATAAGGGGACATGTTTGTCTACCTGTCTGCTTGTCCACCAAGTCTCTGTCTGTGTCTACTAATGGAAATAGTTTAGTCCATGCTGTTTATTTTTCTCCCAAATATTCTGCAAAATTCTTTCTTGTATGTATGGTTTGCTCTTTACTTCTATTTGTAGGAAATTATGGAGTTCGATTATAGAAAACTTAGAGATTTTAAGATTAATAATCTCCAAACTCCTTCCTTATACATCAAATATTCAATTCTTCTATACCACACGGTTTGGATTGGAATCACAGCGAAAACCATTGACTAAACTGCTGCAGAGTCACCAAAGTTGTAACAGAGAATAGATTTTACCAGAGGAGGAATTTCTTGCCAACACTATTTGTAATTTGTGATGGGTAATGTCTTACCTTGTTATTTGAATATGAGGAAGTGGAACCATTAAATGGGTTGACATTCTGTGAGGGTGTGTGAATCAGGTTGAATCGGTTTACTCTTTTAATTAGCAAGGTGATAAATGGCCAAACCCGACCTATTTGTTTGGGCTGGTTCCTTGGTAGGTTAAATGGGTCAACTTACCAAATGAAAAGGAATTAAAACTTGAGTCTCCAATTTGCTCTGTCCTACCACATGCAGGTTGAGCAAGGGGGTCAATTTAACCTTCTTTTATATGGGTCAACAGTTTATGGTTTAAACTTGCTTATAAATTTGATTGGATGACTCAATCTAGTGGTTTCAACCCATTTTAACTGCTCGATGTTTGTGCTTGTAACATACCTATGAATTTTGATTGTTATCAACTAGTTTTGAGATTCAAACAATCACTTTTAATAAACCCAGTGGAAAGTTCATGTTCCTTTTATTATAAGCATGGGATAAATTTTATTATTGAATTATTTGTCAAATTTTCCTCATTCCATATATTTGGTCTTTGCTTTCAAATTGAAATAGTCACCAGAGACACATAGCTTTATTCAATATTGTTGTGTTGAATTTTCAGTGGACCACTTTAGAATTGAGAATCTCGAAGATGATGGAAGGTCATGTGTCTCATCACTCTTTTTTGGATCACTTTTATCAGTGGTTTCACCTCAAGTGGCATATGCAAGTGACACATTGAAGACAAATGAGATATATGAAGTCGGAGAATTATTTGATTTGGGGATCCAATTACTATACTTGATATTGTTATTAGGTTTGCTTGGAGTTGGCACATACTTTGTAATTCGACAAGTTCTTGTTCGCAGAGAACTTGACCTTTCTGCGAAGGAATTGCAGGTAAAATCTTGAGCGCGATCCATTACATTCTTTTCAAATAACAGATCTTGCTGCTTGAGCATGATTTGGTATTAGCTTCTTTAAATTATGTTGAACTCTGTATTCTTCTCCTTAAGCTCTTTAATATATCCTGCAGCTTGTTACTTTAGTAGCAATTATAGACAAATTACCTGCAATTAGCTGCTTCATTTGCCCTTTCAGCTTCTCATTTTCTTCCACTGCTTCAGGAGCAAGTAAGAAGTGGTGATGCAAGTGCAACTGAGCTTTTTGAACTTGGAGCAGTGATGCTGAGGAGGAAATTTTACCCGGCTGCTACTAAGTACTTGCTTCAGGCTATTGAGAAGTGGGATGGAGACGATCAGGATCTTGCCCAGGTTTGATGAATTAGACCCATCATAAATTTATGTTTAGACAGAAAGTTACTAATTTGTTATACTATGCGAATGGAAAACTTGTTGATTTTGCCTTGGGTATTGTTTAATAACTCCTTAAAATTCAATCATAATGCTAAACTTGGACCTGCCAAGTTCAGTACGTGGAGAATTGAGCATGATCCTGGCCATGGGACATGTATCGGTCCTCTATACAGTGACTTGATTTAATATATCTTAGTTGTACCGTTCTATGTGTAATTGACCGGAGTTGCTTACCCATCTTGGGTGAAGGCCTTCTTGGGGGACAAATTCAAAATTCTCATTCTATCCATACACATTTCTACCATCATTTCCTTATTCTGATACTTTTCTAATTTTTCTAATTTTGATTTGTAGATAAAGAAGAAATTGTTTTTCCGAAGAGAGAAAAAAAAATCAGAGGATGCTGAAGTACCCTCATAAGATAAAGTTTAACATACAATAATTGAAGCTAGAACAAAAAATAATATAACAAAGTGACTCAAGGATGCAACAAACTGCTCAATCCCTTCGCTCCTTATGAAAAGCCATGTACCAGGCATCAAGGGGAGAACATGCAAGCTATTCTATCCCATAATTTTCTAAAGGCGACCAAATGTATTAGATCACAGGAAAGACTGCATTGCCTTTCCCCTCCTTTTTGAGACCTTTGAATTGTACTGGGATAGAGACATCTCTTAATTGGTATATATGCAGTTCTCACCAAAGATCCCGAAGAAATTATCCCGCTTTTAAGCATTCATTTTGCAGTATAATAATAAATGAGCACCATTTTTTCACACTAGAGAGGTACATAATACAAATATCAGCAGACAGCCCTGTCTTAGACCTTTGAGCCTGCCTATGTCATTTGTGTTAGATTGCCTTATTTGGAAATGACCTATGAATCATTTACTTTGCTAATGGTCTTCATATTACCGATTTAGGTTTACAATGCTCTTGGTGTTAGCTATACCCGTGATGGTAAGCTTGACAAGGGAATTGCTCAGTTTGAGAAGGCTGTGAAGCTTCAACCTGGCTATGTCACAGCATGGAACAATCTGGGTGATGCCTATGAGAAGAAAAAGGAATATAAGTCTGCCCTAAAGGCGTTTGAAGAAGTCCTTCTATTTGACCCTAACAACAAGGTTGCTAGGCCTAGGAGAGATGCTATGAAGGAACAGGTTCAAATGTATAAAGGCGTTCCCGTGAAATCAAAGGATAGATGATTGCAGTTGCTGTAACTCATTCATATAATGAATATGGCAGCAAGTATAAGTTTTTTGCTCTTTTTCTTTCATATCAGTCTTGGGATTTGAGAGAGGAGTGCAGAAAGTTCAAACACCTTCAAACTGGTATGATTGACTATTAAATTGATTGTGTTTGAAATGTTGCTAGTTTTCTCTGAAAAGGATAGTGAATTCATTGTGTAACAGAGAGAGAGGGAGACAATGATGTAATTATCTCATGCACTGTAACTTTCAAATTCTAACTTACTAAACGTATTACTTAAGCTTACCTGTGTCATTATTCTGCAACGACATGGGTAGAGGCAATCAAATCTTATTAAAAAGATTGTTTCAAAATTTAGGACTGGAATTCAAGATTTTTTAAAGCTTCAAAAATAAATACTTCAAGATTGTCTAGAAATTGAGGTTATTATCATGAGGTCATTGAAGGAGAGTGGTGTGTATTTCCAAAATTGACCATGTAACAAAAAGCACATTTTTATAGGTGTAAAGCATTTTACCGGCTAAAGAAACCATTGTAAAAAGTGCGAGAGGTGATATTTTTATAATTATGATGTGTTAATTTTAAGAACTAGTTTTTGGATCGGTTCATCCACCAATAGGTGTAAATAGTCAAGTCTTCAAACAAAAATGGGAGTGAAACATGCTCTCCTCCCTGCGTCGGAGTTCTGGGTGATGCCAAGTTTGTTGAAGCTAGCACACTGAAGTTCTGGGTTCTAGCTTGCTTCAGTTTCTGTTACGCTATTTGGTTAGTTTTAATGGGTTGTAGCTTGATTTTAGTTAAGACTACTTGTTCTGCTAGTTTGATTTTAGTTGATTTCTGATTTGCTATTTGGTTAGTTTTGATTGTTTTAAGTTTGATTTTAGGAAATTTGCTTGCCTGTTGGGTATTATGCTTTGATGTAATTCTGATTCATACCTACAGAATTCCCTCTTGCTCTGTCATCATATTCCTTTACTCTCTCTGTGCTGTATCTTCAGAGCCTAAAGCTGTTTGACCCTGAAGTTACTAATATTAAATGTGTCCGTGTCCTCCCATTTGTCTATGTAGCCTTGATTTATTGTCTGGTTTCTTTGTGTTTGTTGGAGAAAGATCATTTCTTAGTTAGAAGGACTGGACTGTCTTGACATTCCTCTGTTTAACAATTTGGTATGGTTTGTTAAATTGGATTAAGATCGAATCTTGGCTTAGAAGTTTTCACATAGAAACTGCAGGTATTTAGAATTTTTTTAAAATTTATATCGTCTTAGAATTGTTTAGAAAGAGCAATATTAACAGTTAATTTTGGTTTTTTAATAGTTAGTGTAAGTTTTTTAATAGATAGGGTGAGTTTGCTCTTTCTTTAAAACACTTTTGGGGTAAATATAAATCCAATAAAACTTTTGGATACTTACAGCATAGAAACTTCAGAGGCAAAAATTGAACCTTAAGCCTTGTTGAATTTGATGCTTATGATATATACATTTGTATTGCCTAGGTGCCTTCTTGCATGCAATGGTACTGGTGATGTCTCTCATGAGAAGTTTCATTGATTGTAGATACAAAATTTTCACAGCAAAAACTATCCCTATTTATTTTTTTAAAAAAAAAAGATCTTTCAGGTATGCTACTGCCATGGCTACATTGCAATGAGAGATGCTTACTCTTTTATCTTATTCTTTTCACAGATTATTGAAAATTATTGCTTCTCAAAATGGTGAAGCAACGTAAAAAGCGTAGACAAGAAGTATAGGAAGTCTTGTGTGCATTCATTTTTCCCCTTGAAATCTATTTTTCATTTAATTCTGTAAATAAAACACCATGTTCGCTGTTTATATCATTCACCAAGTAATAAATAAATAAAGATTATCTTTTTTAAAGGAAGTTTTTTTAGGGGGAAATCTCACAAAAGGGATGTAGAAATTACTAGATCTTAAATCAGGATTATTTTCTATACTTTAACAGGCTTTTATTATACTTAACTTACAAATAAACACACATTCTTGTAGGAATTTTTGAGTTAAGATTTAACAATTTTTATGTTCCTTTTGCGGGACTTTCTCTTTTGGATTTGAGTATCTTGTAATTAATTCTTAGGTTTGCGATTTAGGGCATATTTATTTCTTCTTTTTTTTTGGGATACCTCATTCCTTTTATAGGAGGATTAGTAATTGATTTCATCTTTTGAATCCTAACTTTGGGTTCTTCCATTTCAATCAACGCAGTTTGTGGAATCTGTGTTTTGAAACTTTTGTTCTCCTCCCTAGCCGTTTGTATAAAGTATTTCATTCAGTATTGTCATGTTTAACATTAAGCAATTAGGAAAAAGTTTAGATAAACGTTCTTATATACATGTTACGTTAAGTTTTCTAATCACACATGGTTATATGTTCTTTTTTTTTTTTGTTCCATGTGAAATTTATAATTAAATGCTATTAAATTTTAATGTTTTAAAAATAGGACACATGTTCATGTGTGATTAAAGAGTTTGACATAATAGATATAAGAAATTTGATATAAATATTGTCTTAATAATTATTACTTGACCACATGCACTCAGCAAATTTCATCTTATATAACATCCGTAGGGTAAAACGAAAAAGATGTTGAGATTGTGATAATCCAGGCATTTTAGCAAATAGATTAATCTTCTTTTTTTTCATGCATTGAATAGGATATTTTTTCATGTCCTAAAGAACTTATTTTAATCATTTGTATGGGATTTTGCTCTCTTGATTAAAAAACCTTAATGTGTGATTATAAATTTCAATAATGAAATATATTAACGTCTTATATTTAGAACTAAAATAAATTTACCTATTAGTTCTTATGTTTAAAATCGAAAAAGAGTAATAAATACTCCTCCGGTCCTTATTATAAGACCCAATTTGACTTTTTATTTGGTCCTAATTATAAGACCCAATCCATTTTCTCTCTTATATTTATGCATTTTTTTCCAAGATAATCCTTCTAATAATGATAGTTTTAGCCAATATACTTAATTAGTAATGATATTTTAGGAATAACAACACTTATTTATTATAAATAACCAACTTAACTTACTTCTTTAATCTCCTCAAATAAGTCAATTGGGTCTTATAATTAGGACCGGAGGAGTATTAAGTAATAATCCTATATAATATGAGTGTCTATATTTATCGTTCTTGTCCTTATTGTAGGTTTCCAGAGTACAAGAGATTTTTTTTAACTAGACACAAATATCTTTCCGTTGAAAGTAGTTCTATTTAACAGTAAAAGTTGTGAATCAAACATCAAGGATGCAATTGCCCAAAAATTCGTCAAAATGTCGATCGGTGTTTATGAAGCCCATTTGAATACCCAAATATTCAAAAAGGGTTTTTAACCCATCGATCCTTTAGAAGGACATTTTCCACTCTTTCATTAGGCCCGCATATTAGGTAGTCCATAGAAAGGAGTCATATCAAAACAAATTAGGTGCGGAGCACCAGCACCAACGATATTGGGTTTAGAGAAAAGAATGAATGCCTTACAACATAGCAAACCAAAATTCAAGCCCTACTAGAAAGAGATATCTACATTTAGTACTTAATAGTATCTCAAATAGGATTGTGCTTAGCAAAAATAAAAGCGTGGAAATGTAAGATAATCTCTCCATTTCTTATCTCTACCTAGATTAATTTTTAATGATTGAGATTTACTATTTTATAATAATATTAAATGAAAAATACATAATCAAGTTTATTAATATTTGATTTAAACATTTTACAATCATATACTTTTTTTTTAAATAGTTTATATTTTTAACTTTTTATCCCTTGCAACAAGGCAGCCAATGCCACCGGCATGTTAAGAGGAGACTAGAGAGATGACAACATCATCAACAAAACACAGCACAGTAAACACACAGCAAACGCAAGTCAAGACAGAAGTAATGTTTAAGCAAAGTTTTAAACGATGAGTTCTAGGCTGTTTCTTCTCCTCTGATGCATCATCAATCACTGGAATGTTGACGTTCGCCGCCTTTGAGTTGAACTACAACAAAGGTATGATATAAAATCTAACTTGGACCAAACTGGCTAAGGCACTAATTCAATTGTCCGAGCGACCCTGAATTGAATTTTAACACCAGAATTGAGTTTTAATACTACCTCAGGTCCTAATTATAAGATCTTGTTTGCAGATTATAAACAAGGTCTTATAATTAGGACTGGAGATAGTACCATGCTTATTCCTGGCGATCTTGCCCTATAAATCACATACTACTATTCATTTTTTAAGCTTCCATGCATCACAGGGGAGAAAGTTTTGGAAATCAAAGAATTTTGAATCATGAGATTTCCTGAAATTTTCTGAAATGAAAAAAAAGTACCAACACTTTGTAGATAAATTTCGTCTTTTATATATACTCCCTCTGTGTGTATCTCACTTCAAGGGATCTCAATGTTATTTTTTCTTGATTCATAGAGTTAAACTCAAAACCTTACTTAAAAGGCAGAAGCATGCATCAGTTTTTGTGGTCTGTATTGATGTGTGTTATTTTCAGTTAAACTCCACTTGGTTTTTCTCTTTCAGAAAGGAAAAGTACTAATCCATTTGAAAAATAAGCTTATTTCCATTCAAACTTGTATCTACCATTTGGATTATTCCCATTCTAATAGATTCTCCAATTCATCTCGCACATAAAATTTCCTCTTCCCATCCCATGAATATGAACGAACATCTTTTTCTAATTTACCCTATAACATCGGAAACTCTTGTCAAAGTGGTCCCTCGTCGCCATTTTCTTCTTTCTTATTGTCTGTCCGTTCAGAGATAGGGTAGTATCCCTCTAGAATGTAGTATCACTTCCCACATTATATATATATATATATATATATATATATCAAGGGGGCCGGGACCAGACATACACAAACAATAATTGGTGATTATATATATTGCACGCAATAAGGTTCATCTTGGATAGATTATTGTCTTTACATAGCTTTGTTGCTACTTCTGTTTTTGGTGTTATCTTAGAGATAAATATGTTTGCTGCATGCATTTACAGAAACGACAATGGAAGAAACACAGTCTGAAGCCGCAACACAATTCAAACGCAGAGAGAGATTTCTTCCATAAATAGTGTATTTTTTGTAAGAATGACGCTTGCACCACATTCTGTAAAATATATTATATATGTTACATACGAGGGATCAAAAGATATAAATTAGGTAGTATGAAAAAAGCCAAAACTGCTACAAAAGTATTACGGATACAATTACTATATTAAAAGCTGATAATTAAACAAGACACAATTGATCTTTTTCCCCCTCTGG